AGGATGAATGAATAATAAAGTAATCTTGTTGGAATGAACTAAGGAAATAAGTTTAGTTGGATTCCACAAAGAGCAATGACAAGTATTTTCAGTAAGCACAGGAAAAGAGCTATAAAGGACAGAGGATGAAGTTACACTAACTAAATGGTATTGTCATTTGCATGGATCCATAACCCTTCCTGAATGCGGTGGTGATAAGGAAATAATCATCTCAGACAATAAGGAAATAATCATCTCAGGCAATGTGTAATTTGTTTGAAGTGAAATCTTTCAGTTCCCTGATTTGTAATCAAATATCCTGAATTCTTGATTTCTAATCAAATATCCTGAATTCTTGATTTCTAATCAAATATCCTGAATTCTTGATTTCTAATCAAATATCCTGAATTATAACACGTCAATATTTGAAAGCTTACGATTCATAGAATAATGAATCACAGTTTCTATATTTAATCTATCGCTAATCGATCGATCGAAATTGTCTTTTTTTTTCTCGCTCTTACTGCTCCAATTCATCAAGTTGATAAATTCGATTGGTATTTAATGTGAATATTATAGAGTGATAATGAAGCAATGGCAACAACTTTGATAAAAAATTTGAAGGACAGTAAGTTGGAATTTTATAATGAAGAAAATAGAGAAAAGAAAAAATCAAATAGTGGTTGATCGATCTGGTTTATATTCAAGTACCATTAATGAATGTGAAAAGGATTAAAGTGTTGATAATAGTTTAAAGCGGATAATGAATCATTACTGATAATGAATATAAATTCTGATTTGGTAAGAGAGTGATATCAAAATCAAACGAATGATTCATATAAACTTTTGTTTGAGAACAGCTATAATTTTCAAAAATAAAACATTCATGAGAAGTGATAAGGAAGTGACAGGCTCATTTTTTGTAATAAGACATGAAGATATGGTTCAACCTCCTGACTATTGCATTGATTATTCTCTTTGATGGTTCTCAGTGACCTGAATGGAATGAATGAAATACAGTAATATGATAAGCATCTGAACTAAAATTTATATAATCAAAAACAAAAAATGATAGAATTTTAAAAAAGTAATGCTTTTCTTAATTCGAAAGAACATAAAATCTTCAAGCTTAAAAAATCTCAATTTTTCAGGAAATATCTTCCAGTATTCCGGTTTATCTGTCACATATCTCAACGATAAAACTCATCCCATAAATGGTTAATACACATCTGATTTCTTTAATCCGATATGTGTTCGCATCATAAATGTTCTTTCTGATAAACCTTAATGCCTCGGAAGTCAAACGAGACATTATCTTATCCAATCTAGCAAAAATTTCATACCGGAAATACAAATTGAAATATTTATTTGCAAATTTGAATACTTATAATGAATCAAATATTTGCTTAAAGTTTATTGCCATTACCGGAAATAAACAAAAAGTAACATTTTGTGTTTGTAAAGTTCAGCAAATATTTTCTTACTTCATTGCTAGAACAACTATTTGGTAATTTACAGTATCAATCTGATAACTTTGAATATTACCAAACTTACATCATGTTGTGATACATTTGTAATGAATTTAAATGGCTAATTTTTTTGAAAGATATAATGAATCAAAGACAATGTCAACAAATATGACCAACCTGAATCATTCATTCACAAACGTGTCCATCCCACTAATGTGACATCTTTGTTCCCTTTATACCATATCATAAATTTATCAATCTTTATGGTAGTTTCAAAAAAAATAAAATAAAAAAATGTGTTACTTTTATAAATATGGTTGAAACATGGATATCACTTGCTTATTATTATTCGTACTTCCTTATTCATACAATGTCAGGAATCTTTTCCTTTTACAAAAACTGTCTGCTCCGAAAGTTGACTTTACCATTATCAACTTTGGATAGCTTTTTATCACGAACTGTGTCAAGTTGATGTATTACATCACTTGTATAATTCTTATCTTTAAGAGATTTCAGCCCATATTATTTGAAAAAGTTAATGGAACAATTTTCATTGACCTCTGACCTCCGTATAATGAATTCATTAGAAATACACCGCTTTTGCACCAAATTTTGTTAATACTTCCAAAGTAGCAGATTCCACGATCAAAAATACTGTATGTTTGCAAAGATTATAAAGAAATCCGGCATTATTCCGGCTTTTTATTGATGATCCATGTATTGAAACAGAAATTCTTTCATTGATTTTTAAAATGGATGAAACTCTATGATTTTCTATTGATCCAAAGCTATCAATACATTCAGCAAGTATTCCTGTTAGCTGTTGTATAATTCCACGTTAGATAATGAGTAGTATTAATTATCATAAGACATAGTATTAATTATCATAAGGTAATGAGTAGTATTAATTTATCATAAGGTTGATAATTAGAGGTTGAAATGAGCAGTTGAAGCAAATTGCTTTTTCAGTCGTGATATTTCTTTGTGATTAGAAAATGAATGCAAAAATCATCCTGATATTTACCTCTACCTGTATTATAAGCCTGGATGCCTGTGGACCATTTACACCAAAACATACTGGTAAGCTCCATTTTTGCTATTTTCAGTTAATTTATTTCTTTCCTAAATAACAATTATTAATCAATCATCCATTTCATCCATCATTTACTTGATTACATTGTTTTATCATGTCTACTACTTTGTTTTGTGCATTTGCAATTTTAAAATGCAAACACCTTTTGCAATCTTCATCTTCCATTAATTCTTCTGAAATGCAAAAAGTTAATCTATTCGGTTTATCACAACAATATTTTGTAGCATGTCAAATGTGCAAACCCTTTGAGACAAACTTAATAAGAAGGAATTCTTCCTTTGTATTCGTGGAAAAAATAACAGTATCATATGGGATGAATAATGATAAATGCAAATTTGCAGTATTGCAATGCTCAAATCCTGCAGCAAAAGACATTCTAATAGAGGTAAGCAATCCTGTTATGCAAATATAAAACATTACCGCAGAGAATCAGAAAGATAAATTGTGATAATTGTCAAGTTATTGGAAGCATAATCCATATCATTTCTAGTGGTATGATCAATCTGGTACAGGTGTTGGAATTACTGGTGTGATCACATATACCCTCAAAGTAATTGCTTTAATTACTTGTGATTACAATTCGCAATGGATTTTAACGGAAAATGATCAAACTGAAATTATTCAATCGGCAACATGTGAATACATACAATAATCGTTTATAAGTGAAATTTCAAATTATTAATAGATACTGCTATTTTTAAAATTTGTATCTGAATTGAATGATGCATTTTGTTGAAGAGATGATTATAACTTTAACTATAACAATTCCATGTTATCACTCTTTGGGATGAATGCTAAAGTTATTCGAAGTTAATCAAACTATATTTAAAGTTTCAAATAAATCATAAAATCATAAAATACATCATTTATACATGTTTATTAAAAATAGAAGAATAAAAGTTAAATCACAAAAACATTGATTCAGATTAACTTTGAATAAAATTTGGAAAGAACCCCACAAGAAGCAAAGAAAGCGCAGTTAGCATTCTGAGTACTTATATGAATTTCATTTTTTTTCATTATTAGCTAATTTGTTGGAATAGTTGATGTGAATTTTCATTTGGAAATAATGAAAGATAAATAACATACTGTTGAGCAGAAATGTCACTTTTGATGACACTGAAAGAAGTGAGAGCGATAACAGAGGACAGATAATGATTTTGTTGAAATGATTCAAAATGCTATCAATTGTTTATTAGTTTATTCGAACAATTCATTTTTCATTACAAATAATTATTGTTGCGGTTATTACAAATGTACTGATTGATAAAGTAAAAATAAAAAAAAAAAAAGAATGCATCACATTGTCATTATGCCAAATTAAACGAATGTTATCAATTCGTAATTGCTATCCGTGATTTGCCTATTGTCACTCTGCTCACTTCATTCATTTGCACATGACCGTCCATTTTGTTATGATCTTTGTCGTCGCTAATATGAATTCCTATAATTATGCAAAAACTGTTTAAGAAAAATATTAACTGGAAAGATGAAAAACATTCGTTACAAATAATATTGTATAATGTAAATAAAACAATTATATCAATAAAACCAATAATCGATAAGTATTGACCAATGGTCAATCATTTTACATTTTATAACAAATCCAGATATCCGAGTAGGTTGATGAGTCATTACAAGTTCTAGCATGTTTTTCGAACTTGAATAGAACAGTAATAAGATGAATATAAACAGTAAATCAATAATTTCAAAGATATTCTACTATAAATTGTATGTTGAATTATATATTATATAATAACTATATAATTATTCTAATTATATAACGTCTTCGATCTCTCTTCATGTGACACCTGTTATCCACCGAAAGTAACTATCAGGTGATCGGTCATTTCAGATGCATTTCGAGTTATGAAACTGTTTCAAAGCTTAACGATAATTTCTTGATTAGACTACAGTATGATACAATTCTCAGAAATAAACTATGTCATTTATGCTGTATATAATTTGAACGAAAAAAATTATTGATGAATGAAAAAAGAGTACCAAGAGCTAAATGATAGAACCAAGCACCAAATGCTGCACCGAGAAATGGGACAAAGATTGGTATCAAGAACCATTTATGATCTCGATAGCTGAAAGAGAAGGAATAGGTTAGAAGTAAATGGGAAAACAAAAAGTGTTTGAGTTAAAAACATAAAAGCAATAAAAATTATACTTCAGAACTATTAAGAAATTTCTTGAGTCTAAACCTCTTAGATACCACGGGATGTATTAATTGAACCTAATTATCTAACTTTTGAAATTTGTAATATTTTTTGCAAATTAGTGAAAAAGAAAGAAAGAAAAAAAACCTGAAAACATCCCAACCATAACCAACACAAAGAGCCATAAGTTTTGGTCCAAGATCTCTTGCCGGATTAATCTCACCACCCGCATTTGCACCAGCACATACACCGACCAACATGATGGTAAACATGAGAATGACCGGTTGTGTTGCTGGTGGAATTTTATTCCGTGGATCGGTCAACATTATTATACAGAAAGAGAGAAGTGCTGTACCGATAAACTGAAATGTGATAATATTTGGCTAATGATATTCCTATTTTATGCTTCCAATTATATCTCTTAAAAAAGACCGCTAATATACACTTGCTGTTTAATATGACAAAAACGATGAGTAAAGTAAAGTCAACAGGTATAAATCTAATCCAAGATATAAGCCTTGGAAGGTATGAATTTTTAATATTTCATGAGCTATTTGTTCTATCTAATTTAAAATAAGGTAATAATACTTCTTCAAAAATAAGCAAATAAAGGATTGAAGAGGAACCTGATCGAAGATGCAGCCAGAAATGCTTAAATATTCCTGTGGCCAAGGAACAAATATTCCAATTGTTGCTTTTGGTCCAATAATCTGCCGCTTACCGCCATCAAAATGATTGATTCCATCTATGAAAAAAGAAAAGTAGCCATAGGCTGTAATATCTTTTGCTGAACAGATTAAATGATGTGATATCAAAGCACATCTACTGATATAGAATTTTCATGACAATTGCTCAATGCTATAAGCGCTAAGTATGCATTATCAATAAAAGTGATAACCGTAATAAAAAAAGAATGTGGTTAGACTGCCCATAAAAGCACCGGATAATTGGGCAATCGAATACATTATAAATTTAAATGCAGATATTTTGCCGCAAAGATAAAATGCAAACGATATGGCCGGATTCATATGTCCACCTGCAAATTCAATATTTAATTATGCCAAATGATTCCGAAGTTAAGTGATAATAGCTAGAAAATATTGTGTTCGGTAAGAAAAATGATTGGTAAGGAATCAGAATATTCATAATTTATTTCATGGGGACTATCTAAATAATTCGATCCGGTTATCGGAAGAGTGGGAGATTATTGGGAATGAATGCATTGTAATTTAAGGATAGACTGAAATTAGCTAGCTAAAACCACTGACTGTCTAACAAGTAGATTCATGTCTGATACCTTACACTATTTTCAGAATTTACCCGATAGATAAATGAATGTAACATTTTAAGATGCTAAAAAATTGTTCACCTGAAATTTTCCATCTTGCAATTTTAGTATTCAAATTAAAAATCGTTTGAAATATCAATAGTTTTGAAAATATACCTGATAAACGACCAGCTGCATAAGCACCAAGACCTATCCCCATTGCCCATCCAAGTACCACACAAATTTTGCAATTACCACCTTCCAGTAGATGGACTGCATTTGTTGCAGTACCAGCAAACTAAAAATCATTATCATTGCAATATATTTAACAAAGGTAAACTGGTTTTTGAAAGTTACCTTTCAAACTTAGCTTTTGTAATTATTAATTTGAGGTAATTAAATTGTGAATGAAATAAGCTGAAAAATTGTTTGAAATGCTAAGCATCGGAGGAAATGAAGAAAATTGTTGTATCTATCTGCGCCATTATTTTTATTTAGGTACGGTAAATGATAAAATTTCTTATTATCTGTTTGATATCACTTAATCTATTTATTCTGATGACTATACCTTGCGTAACATATGAGATAGACTACTGGAATAATTTCGGGATTTTTCCATTTTATTTTTTATTCGTTCATTCCATTACTACGCCATGCGCAAAGATATTTTATGAATGCAAAAAAAGAAAGAAGAAAAAATGAAACTCTGAGATAAGTGAAATATTACTTATGAAAGAAAATTTAATTTCTAGGAAATAGGATGAAAATTTTGGAAAAGAATAAGCAAAATATTCCGTTTTTTTTTTTGAGTGGTTCTGATAAATTTGCATATTTTAAAAATTCTATCATCCAAATGTGAACGATATTTTTTTTTAAAATTTCGTTCGTATCTCAATGATAGACTTATATTCCAGTTAAAGACCAATAATTTAGGTTGTAAAATTTAAATTTATATTGAAAAATAGCTTATGAGGTTGAGATTTATCGGATTTTAACATATTGCGAGCATTCATCCATTCGAGAAGTGTGTGGTGATTTAATTAGTAAAATATAAATTCAATGACTCAGAATTAATAAGATACAAATTCAATGACTCATATTCCATAAATGTAGAATTCATATACATTTTTTTTTTTTGCGCTGCTTGTAAAAAAATTTATGAAAATGGTGGAAGAATTTACTAAGAACAAGGCAGTACTGATGAATTCGGATAGAAGACATCGTATCAGATCGTTGCGAATTCGTAACTTACTTCGTACTTTAGCGACATTATCCATTGTAATTATGATTTTATTCTAAAAATTAAAATTACTCTTAGAGGAATTGAAATTAGTCTAGTAATTACGAGAGATTTGATTTGTTTGATATTCGATGCAAATATTTTATAAGATTGATCCCAGAAAGAACTAAAAAGAAACTCTCTTTCTTCCTTTCTTTCTCTCTCTCTCTCTCTCTCTCTCTCTACTAATAATAAAATTAAAAGCTATTTTGTTTCTAAATAACAATTGCTCGAAAACTTTAAACCGAATCTATTTTCGTATTTTGAAATTAATTTTTAAACAATTTTACATCAATATTTATAATAAAACACGACAATGCTCTTCATAAAAGATATATAAGTTGACAGGACAGTGTTCTTCATAAAAGGTGCATAAGTTGACAGAAAGTTGACAGAAGTAATTCTCTGAAAATTATATACCATTAACAAACAACATCACAAGTTTTAAACATATTGAGTAAAAAAAACAAAAAAAAATTGTTGCTTTTGAAATAATGCTTCCAAAATGTTTCTCCTTAAATATATTTTTACAGCTAAAAAAAAAAAAATTTTTCTGACGACTAATTAATTATGACTGTAATGTCCTTTAATTGTTACTTAATGTTGGGGGGGGGAAAAAAAGACCGAAAGATGGCAACACAACCTGTTGCCATCTTTTTATTTTTTCTTGTCCAATATTTGCGGTATTTAAAATGGAAGCTGATTGTTATCGTATTTCTAACTGGTTTGTTTATGGTTTTTTTTTTCTCGGCTTTTATTTTTTTTATGATCCATATTTTGTGTATAATTAGTTGCTGAAAAAGGAGAGGGGAAAAAAAAAGACATTCCAGATAATTTTTCTTTATATTACAAGAGGAGAGGAAGAGAACAGAAGTACTGAAAGGTTTTTTTAAAAATTAGGATTCAAACATCAACATAACTGTTTACATCAGTTAGATAATGTTAACAGATACTGCAATTTGGGAATTAAATTAAAATGTATTATTAATTAATTGCGCATTGAATAAAAATGAAATGTTTTTCTTCTGGACCACACTTCCTATATTATGGAACTCCGGAAATAGCCCTTGGTCAACTAAAGATCTTTTGGCCGGTCAATTTCAGGCTTATTGTCTTGTTTTTGCTCCTTTTTTTTTTCGCTTTTTTCTCAAGTTTTAACATTGATAAAAAGCGGTAAATGTCATTTGCTAATCTTAAAAAAAATTAATTATTATAACGAATTTATTACCTAAATTACTTTTGATATGCCAATTTTTTTCTTCACTGATGGATTTTTTACCAATTGAATGGATTATGTCTGTTGAATGTTAACTTGTTAAATTTAATATTTTTGTAAATTAAGTTGATGAGTAACAGTAACATATATAAATCCATATCATTTAGACAGTAATTTTGGGCTAAGTTATTTAGACCTTTTCTTTTTAACTGCCATTTGACATTTTTGTCAACATGTGTTTTTGAAAAACAGCCAAGTTGTCGTCTTTCTATTCTCATGAACATTGTTCGGCAATTCACCATATCTGTCATTAATTATTGATAAGATAAGCATTGTATCCTGAGTAAATGAATTTTTTATTAATGTCATTCGTATGATTCAAAAATATTTGTTTTAATCTCAAACAATTATTGAAATAAAATGATAAGTTCATCCCTTTCTCATTCATTGTCTACAAACGAATTCAAATTAATCAGTCGTTCATTTTCTACTCTTTCAAGCAAATCATCAATATTTCGAATACTTAATTGAAATGGTTCACTTCATTAATTAAAGTATTTAGAAAGAAGCGAATGAAAGGAAAGAGCTAATTTGCATAATATCTAATTTATTACAATTGAATTCTTACAGGGTTCAAGTCTATCCACAGGTGGCCATCTTTTGGTGGCTAAAAAGGTTCGATATGAGAAATGTCTATGTTGTCGAATAACTGTATGAATATTTTCCATTTTAAATTTCAGTAATAAGATTAAAAAACTAAGACTGGAAACTTTCATTTAGAAAAAAGTACTGCACAAATTACTGTATCTGAATGTTTGTCACAGTAAAATTAAATTTTGGAATTTTAAATTATTTCCAATCCTTACATTTACTGAAGGAATCATTCATTTCCTATAAACGAAGATACTGCGCAAATTATGAAATTATACCAAATATATGGAAAAAATACTTTAGAAAAGGAATTATTTTTGTCTTATCACTACTAGACATTAATTAATGAGCTTATAATTGCGCTAATAACCTTCCCTAATGATGATTAACCTTCAAAATTTCAAACTAAATCAAAACAAATATATCTTTTTTTTTTTTGAGACAGCAATGTATGCAGTGCAATCTTTGTACATTCTGGCGCTTTCTGTAATGATCATTGCGACATATACCGCCTATGGCTTCACAATTAATGCTATACCAAATTTGGTACATATTATCATTTTAGTTATGGTGGAAATTTCGTCAATTTTAGCTATGATAAAACAATGGGCGCTTCTTATTATGCCATTTATAATTTTAATTGTAAGATTTATGCTTGAAATTATTGAAATTGAATTTAAAAGATTATCAATCAATTGAAGAATGGAATTTTTTTACCTAATAGGATTTAAATTTGAAATTAATTTTCACTCTAATTTAACTTCTCGATTATAATAATAGCAACATTTCCATTCAGTTTTCATTATCGATTTATCAATTATGCTTTCATCATAAGTTGCACAAATGCAACTTGTGATGAAACATGTTTTAGTGTTGGAATGTTGAAAAAGTCATGAAGTATATGATATAACTAAGACAGTATACGTGAAATGCTTCTTTAATGATATCAGAATGTGCCAAAAGAATAGAAATTTCATAACACATTCCGTAATCCAATCTGAAATTATAAGTTATAAAAACACTAAGATGAGTAAATCATATCTGACAATTGATTCCGGTCGAGAAGAATAAATTCATTCCTGATAATTGATTCCGGTCAAGAAGGATAAATTCATTTTAAACTTTTATCAATAAATTGTCATTCTTAAATGACAAACATAATGGAGATAAAAGACAAAATTAGCGGAAATTTAGGAAAGAAATGAATATGTTGAATAGGCTTAGGCTTAAATGAATTGTCTTTAATTTAAATTCAGACATTTCTCATCGGATTAGCCATTCTTCTATTTCTATTTCGTGTTTATGTTTGGTTTCGTGATAATGGTGAAAGTAAGTTTTTGATCGATATTTAATGATGTAATTATGAAATTTTTTAATTTTAAAACCAATTTTCTAAATTGCACAAATTGTTATCGAAATAATTCGTCGAGTTTAAAACATCTCATTATTGAAAAATTGCTATAAACTAATTACTAATTACAGTATCTGATCTATGCTTAAGCATAATATCAAACAGCCTAATTATGATCATTTATGTATTTGCGCTAATTGTGTCAGTACGATGGAGAAAATATATGATTGGTTTGAAGAAAGTGAAATTTGGATGAGTAATTTATTTAAATATTTCAAATCTATCCTATATTGCTCCTTTTTTTTTCTTTGTACTAGAACAATAAATAAAGCATTTATTATTTGCCAGGTAAATAAAACAAATACTACTCATTATTATAGTTTCAAAAATTAAACTATGTTAAAACATTTTTTCGTTATGAAATGATTTATGACAACAGTTCGCCCTCCTTTAATGCTTTTTTTTTTTTCGTTAGCATAAAAAATATTTGTATTTTGTAACATAACGTGAAAAGTGTCTGTAACTTTTCTACAAATGAAATTAATTTTAAGCATATAACAATTCCTTTCTTATTCGTTACTCAATGACTTGATTTAAATAAAAAAAAAAATGATCTAACAATTAGTGATATGACAGTGATTTATTAAAAGGTATATCAAAATAATCCTTTTTTGGAATATAAATATTTAAATTTAAGTACTTTAAAAAGTATAACGATACTCTAAAATAAAACTCTCCTGAAGCTGTCAATGGTAGGAAAATACAGGAATAGTATAAAATAAGAAAAATATGGGAATTTAAAAATAAGGAAAATACAGGGATAGTTTAGAGGAATAGTATGAAATAAGAGGTAAATTTTCAGATCACTAAGAAACAATTAAATGAAGTGAGCAACTAAATGATCCAAATATTGATCAAATTAATTTATTTAACTAGTAATCACATCTTTACCTAGGACATTATGGCTGATAACTATAATCACATCTTTACCTAGGACATTATGGCTGATAACTATATCTTGGCTTAGAATATTTGATTACATTGGCAATTAAAGTGTTTCAAACTGAAAATCTCATTTGTTTTATTTTGAGTTTAAAAATAATTCAAATATTCATTAAGTTCATCAGTCATATTTGTTGTGTTTGTATTTGTGATTTCAATTACTTTTTACACCAATGATTGATTTGATTCATTTCATTTGTAATCTATTCGTTTTCAGTTTACCTTTTCTTTTTTTTGCATTCTGCATTTTTTATCAAATGATTTCTTACAATTCAACACATTGAGCAATAAAATATGTTCCAGGGGAACAATTTCCTCAATCAATAAATGAGACTGATAATAGTATAGGAAATGTACCTCATCCAGTCTTCTTAAAATCTTTCACTTCAATCGTTCGATGACATTCATCATTTGACAGGAATAGTTTTAAGGAAAAAAAAAAGAAAAAAAATCATTAAAATCGACGACAGCGCCATTCTACTCTTCAATTAACAGTGGGGAAAAAGTTTGTTTCAAATATTATCACAGAATTTGTTTATGCTCAATGAAGATGACAACTTCATCCAACAAATCCATTTCATGAATAGAAATTGTTACAGATTACATCCCTATGTATAAAAACTAAATTACATTCTTCAAACTATGTGTATAAAGTTTAAACTTTTTCTTCTCATAGTTTAGTGCACTAAGAAATAGCAATAATGAATCATAATGAATACATTGTAACATCAAAATGATAGAATTGATGCGACACATTTATGTTATCACTTATCTTTCCTAATCATTAATATTATAATAACCTAACTGATATCAATACTCTAAATGAAACTGACATATCGTAGTGTGTAATTTGGGATGATATGTTAATTTAAAATAAAAGGTAATACATTAATCTTTCAGATTGTTAAGTTTCAGCTAAAAAATACGTTACTTTGCTTTAGTTTACAGTTGTTATATTTAGATAAAATAAATTCATTTTAAGCATATCATCAATAATACATTTGCATAAGATTACGCAACATTCGATGATTTTTCTCTTCATGAAAAATGAAATCTGATAATGCATAGCGAATGACTTCACTTAGTTCGATTACTTCATTCATGTAATTCATTTTAAAACAGATAAAGCCATAATGAAAGTCCTAACTTCTTCCTACAAAATTTCCAATGACAGTTTGCAAAAAAAAAAAAAAGGAATGAAAATTTCACTATAGTTATATATTTCTTTATGAAATTTATAAAAGAGTTGGCAAAAAAAGTGGCACTTTTGTTAAATTGGCAAGAAATCTTATTGAGATTAAAAAAAAAGTAAAACAGACGCTTACAAATAAAATTTAACAACTTTAAATTGGCTTTTACATGCTAAAGGAATCACAAGAGATTAAATTATTGCAGTTTTTAAAAAGGAAGACAGAACAACTTCATCCTTTTCCATTTATTAATATCTGTAAATCCTCTCTACAAGTTACACTGTTATATTCACAGTTTTTATTCCAAATGAAATAAATGAATCTAAGCAAGTAAATCCTAGTCAGAAATGCATTTCACAATATGAATGTTACTTATATGAAGTTATTTAAAAACATATGAGTTCTATAGAATTTAATAATTTTTCTAATTAGAAAAAACGAACAGGACAAACACTGTTCAGCAAATAAGAACTAATTGTGCGATCAAACCGTATACCATTCAATGCAAAAAGATACATGTTTCTGCCTTTGTTACAAGGTAAAAAGGAGAACTGTCAATTAATAAAACAGATACTCAATCATTGAAAAGATATTTTACACAACAATTCCTTTTATACTGTTATTTATCAATATTTTCCCGTTAGCTGATTAATCGCATTTCAAACTGACAAAAAAGTTCGAAAAATAAATGGGAAGAAATATCATTTTTGGTAAAATATGCAAGAATGATCGTTTATAATAGAATATGCAACCACTGAAAGCCAGAATGAAAGATGAAAAAAAAACTAAAAGACTAAACCACTGAAATGAAGGCCATCTTCAAGTACGACTATGTCCCTGAACAGCAATTATGTAACTACCGCTACATTAACTTTTGATATTTCTGAGAATACAGTATGTTTATTTTAATTTCAAAAAGAAAATTGCCAAATACAAAAAGCTGAAAGCCTTTTCTTCGAATTTATACCAGGCATAAGATATAATTCACTTGAAAAAGTCTTTTCAAATCAGTGGAGAAACTGGATGCAATATTTCATTAATTAAATAATTCGCATCATGCGAAATATGTTGCAATCCGATTAATATCGATAAATCTGTCTACCCTTTTTAAGCCAGTTTTTTAACTAGATCTTCATACTTTTTGCGTCGCTGCAACCACATATGCCTCAATAAGTGCACTGCCACTGCAAAAATTAAAATTTAATTCGTATCATCAAATCACCAGAAAACCTTTGGAGAAGTATCGCAGACACGTATCCCGGTTAATTTTGAAATGAAATTTAAATTGGATCGAAGAAAGTTTCACGCCAAGAAGCTTGAATCTGCCATAAATTGGCAACGAATTAGTGCGAGCATAATCATGCTTCTACTTTTAAAGACTCATTTGAAACTGTAAATAGATAATAAAAGAAACGCGTTTAAAACGCATCAAATACAAACACAAGAGATGAAAACTGCGTTTTAAAACACTGAGTAAATAGGAAAGAACCAATATATCATTAATGATTCCGCAATAATTTATGACAGATTCGAGTTTCTGCGGATTGACGGCAGCGTAAGCCAAGATTGTTCGCACTTTCTAGGAAATAAATTTCAGCCCTCAATTTTCACCACTCCAGGAAGTATAGTCTACTTTGAATAGCTATGACCAGCATACGCATAAAAAAAACTTACCAAAAGGGAATACGAACAGAAAAAATATTCCAAGAACAAAACTGAAATTGAAGCCTATATTTGCAACATTAGGTAGTTTAATACTATATTTTTCAGTTCGGTGATAATAAGGAATAGATCGATACAAGGTTAGACCTGAAAAAATGGTGGGTTTTACTAAATATCTACTTGCTTATGTTGACACGAGGAAAAAAATCCCCATATTTCTAAAACAAAATGAAATTTAGAATATCTGGAAATCGTTCTTTACCTCTGTGATTTGACATAACAAATGCAAGGATGCAGAAATTTGAATTGTGTTATAACTCTTATTCTTTTAGCAAATCAACTACAGGAAATATTTAAAAAATGCGGACGATTTATGTTATTTTCTGTTGTGTCCTAAAATATTCTGCGGTTAATATGCAGGATATCTTGTTATAAACAGCGAAAATTGAATGCTTCTACCTATGGCGTCTATAATGAAATATCATGAGAGTGTTCCATGAAGGATAAAAATAAGAAGGAAAGTCTTGAAAATACTTTGCATATCCGGGTTTTAAGAGGACAGTAGAAATGAACAGTGTGAACTAATCAAAGTTAGTAGTTGATTAATAATATGGAAACAAAGATGGAAGTAATGAACTGCTCACAAGTTCATGACAAATTACTGAAACATAAAATTACCTTCAAGAAGTAAACCAACTGGATAAAGTAATATCCACATATTGTATCGCAACCACGTGAGTAACGAAATTTCAATTTTTAAACTGCTGGCCGCATAGTACGGATATCTAAAAGCAAACATTTGTCCAGTTAGAACAAAAAATCGTTCTCTAACATTAAAAAATGGACACAAACATGGGATAAGAAATTTCCGTAAGTGTTACTGATCGCGCAGTTTTACAAGATCGATATTAATTTGCACAAAATCATCACTTCTCTCATACATCAAAAGTCTCAGTGTCGTCTCGCATGGTCACAGCTAGCCAATGCAGAGGATTTCTTATTCATACTTTTTGAAAAAAATCATAAAAAACTTGGGGCAAATGAGTTAGAACCGAAATATTGCACATTATATTGCACACCATATTGAAAAAAACCAAAATATTGCACAATGGAACACAATTTGTACATACAAATCGGAAAAAATTTGCCGGAAGATTTCAAAGAAAAATTTACCGGAAGATTTCAATCGAAAAGTATGCAATTATCAGAACATAAGTAGTCCATGAACTCTGTATATCTGGGTAGCCATCAATAACATATATGAATGCTAAACGTCCACAAACCTATCCGAAATCAAAAATATACAAGCTAGAATACTGGAGAAAAATATCGGTAATTAACATACAAAAAGTTTCATTCTGATAATAACAATGCTATTAACAAATTTTTGCTACTTCGTCCATAGTCCGATTATAGTTAGATGTTTCATTCTGATAATAACAAATGCTATTAACAAATTTTTGCTACTTCGTCCATAGTCCGATTATAGTTAGATTGAGAGAGTGTTAGTACTAAATAAAAAATGAGTCCCAACCTGTAAAAGCCCGACTCGGTAATTACCTTTTGTCAAACCGACTAATGCATGTGCAACGTCAATTAGCTGCAAACCTGTTGCAATTTTTATAATGTTGGCATTATTTTGCCAAAATGAGGTGCAATATTCTGAAAACGAATTCTATAAAAATTGATTAAATATACAATGACGACGAAAAAGCACTGTACCAGATGGCAATTTTGCATAAAAACTGAATATCTTTATGCTGCCACTATACAATGCATCCAAACTTTCGCCTAACAACATCACAACTAATATCTACTTCTATCACCATCTATGCACTTCTTTAGCAGTAAGAATTAATAGATATAAGCTCACCATCTATGCGCTTCTTTAGCAGTAAGAATTAATAGATATAAGCTCACCATTTCCAGCATTGAAGAATTTGAAGAGCAAAGTAAACAGTAAATATGCATGAAGAATAAACAATGATACGTTATATGCAAAAAGATAATGAGTCAGCAAGTGGTTACACTTTTTGGCGAACTGTTTTACTGAAATGAGATTCAGGAATTTTTAGTTGGAAAGGCAGAAAGAAAAAATAGCAACAGAAAAAGAGCATCCTTCAACCAATGATGGTAAAATTGAAATTTAAATTAACAAAAATGCAACCTTCATTAATAAATTGTGTTTCCGTTTTTGATTTAGTGCGGTATTCTTCAAAAATGCGCTGTGTTATCGCATCCATCTCTGCTTCCGGTGTGCGCTGTAAATACTTGAAATTACAACAAAAACCTGAAGCTCATGAATTAGAAGTTGGTGAAATCAATTTATTAACGTTTCGCAATGAAGAAGAAGGACAAACTGCTTTCATATTTATCATTTCATAGTCGTCTTCTGTTTCAGTTCCATCTGGATCTTCGAATCGATCGAAATCGATCTTAAAAAATGTCTCATTACATACCATTACACAGCGTTCAACAAAGCAAATAACTCCAAGAAGTAAATTCCCGATTGTTTTTTGCTTCTTTTGAGATGGTTTAAAATTCGTCCAAATCTGTGCATTAAACTGGAAATTAAAAGAAAAAATTTGTGTACACAGAATTTTTAAATTTTTTTTTAAAAATCACATTTTTAGTTACTTCTGTGTTCTGTACGAGAATATAAGTGTAAGGCATAAATGAGTACAAAATGGTATAGAAAATAATATAAGAGCATAAAATGTCAAGTTCACGTACTCGAAGCCAAGAATATCGACTACCATCCTTCAGAATAGTAGGCCACCACATGGCATTCTTTTTCTTCAAAACATACAACAATTTGCTTCCACCTTCCTGACCGGTCTGGAAATTGCAAATAAGACTGTTGCTGCAAACAAGCTATCAAACTGCAGCTAGTAGTACTTTCCTTAAATTCAAATGAGAGAGAATAATTAATGAAATGATGTATACAGAGAACATCATTAATTTAATTAATACGAAGTCTTATTTTAAGAATCACCTTTTCCATCTCTATTTCTGCAAATAACGGCAGCTGAAAGGAATATTCACATCGACCATGTGCACCAACTCCGGTAGCACGAAACTCAAAAATATTACCCATTATAGCATAATTGGCATTCTGAAAACAAATTTGGAATGTAAGCATGGAAGTTCGAACTAATTACTGAAATACTTCAAGATACCAAACTTCTCTTCAACACAGTCCCCTTCAAATTATAAACTGCATTAAATTTGTGATTTAAAGAATGCTGATAATAAATATTTATCAGCATATCCTAAGTGATATTTCTATAATTTTGAGATTTCTAGTTGACTCACACATATGCAACTCTTCAAGTCAAGAGCACAAATCTCTTCATCCTAATCATGCTATAGCTGCTAATTAAAAAAGGTTAGTTTAGCACAAATGTAGTCTGTTGATATTTGAAAAAATTGATTAACCATATGAACTTTGTACATGAGGTAAACGAACGAATAAATAATCTAACCGATGAATCTTTCAAATCAATCGTAAGGTAAAGTAATCTTTCGTTCTGTGCCCAATAAACAAACGGACGTCGTGCCATCGTTACTGTTCCAGAGAAATTGCCTGAAAATATTAAATAAGCTAAAAATGAGAAAAGAGATGCAATCTAAAAGTGAACAGAAAAATAGTTGTTGGAATGTGTACTTATCTTCCTACACTCTTAAGTAAGAAGATAAATACACATTCTAATAAATAACTATAAGTACACATTCCAATAACTCTTTCTATTCATTTTTTATTGAAATGGGATGGAAATTATTGCATATTTAATTGGTTAACTGCCCCACATGTATAATTAAATTTGAGAAATCTTTAAATCTCTTAATGATATTTAAACAAAAACAAAATAGTCCTCAGATAAAAACCATCAAATTATCCATTTTAATGATTTTAGCAATTCAAACGTTAGCCATTCACGTGAACCTTTCTGCCACTCATACTATTTTTCTGCCGTTCACACTTTTTTTTTTAACGTTCTCTCTTTCCCGTTCTACTTTTCGTAAAAATCTCTGGTCATGTGATATTTCTCAAATTTTATTAATCTTTGCCTTCTATAGACTGAGCGTTATCAATTCTGCTGATAAATATTATTATTTATGTATCTTGTTTAATATAACATATGAGGATTCATTGGAATCAATTAGTGCTGGCAATCTATGTAGGCTCCTTAAAGATTACACTATTTCTAATCTGGTAGGTTTACCTGAACTCAGGTAAACTTTGGTTCCTTTTGCTTTGATTCAATCTTTGATTTTTGATCGCAGTTCTTGATTCCTTCCTAAATAATTTATATTCTCCAACTTTACTGTAAGTGCTTTATCATGCTTGATGCGCATAACTCAATCTTGTTTTATCTTCTTTAGACAAATCCGATGTCGTACGACGCTGTATAGTCCGATAATTACTTGGCATGCAGTGCATCTTATGCAGGTCACGTTCATGTCAAACTGTTCCATTTAATTTCTTTGATAATTAGGGACTATTGGTAGTTGCAGTCATTAGTGGAACCGGATGCCAATTTTTAGGCTGCTGGTTAATTTTTTCACCTTTATTTGATAAATATTATTGTCGGAATTAATTTCGATACGCTATCGATTAATCAGCACTGTAGGATTTGATTGATCGTAGCAGAACACAGTATATACTTATACAGCATGATGCAGTTTATTGATTGATCGGTGAAATACAGTATATAATAAGCAGTAATTATTAGCATATTAATAGCTCAATAGTTTTCTAGCTTTTTTTTTTTTAAATTAGCTTTTTGTGATAGGGTTTGCGGAAAAACAGTTTAAGTTATTATAATCTTTTAGCTGTTTCAGTCAAAACTTATTAAACTACTGATTGTATTTGAGCGAAAAAAAAAACTTTCACCTCTTGCTTATGCATATTTATATTTGTGAATACAGTTTAATCTCGAATCATTTAGTGATACTAATATTTTGTTTGGACACTTATCCTTGTCATTATTCTACTTGGTTTGTTTTTCTTCCGTATTCTCATATCGACTAATGTCTCATAAATAATGATGTGAAGTGCTATACTACTTGGCCTATATTGCAAAATTCAGGAACGACTCAATGCAAATGCTATTATTAAAATTTTGTTGCTCATACAAAGTTTAAGTTATGAATTAGTTTCAGGCATATATCTTCTGGATGAGAATCTAAGAATTTTGGCCAGTGTTTTGACAATAAAAAGTCCTATTGATAGAACAGTAAAAAGATCTTTTTTGAAAATTGATAGTGATACTTGCCACCAAATATTTATGCCATCTGAGAACTATATTATGTAGCATTTTGTTATTTTTGGTAGCTTATATTAAAACAGCCAACAAATTTTTTCGTTCACTCTTTTTGTTTTCTTTCTTTTCCATTAATCGTATTGAATAAATTTACTGCATCGTAAGCCTAAGAGTTGTCATACTTGAAAATATAATGTTTGTGTCGTATTATACAGGAGCTCTTTTTTCTTTCCCTCTGAAATATTTTAATAAGCCCATACAGCAACTAAACAGATGAGCATAAGCAGTAACAATTCTACTAATTAAACCCACTCGTGCGATCAGTCAGAGTGGATCTAGAAGATAATGATAGCGCTTTAAGAATGTAAATTATGGTCATAAAATTTACACTCAAAACTGAAATTAAATGGAGTTCTTACAGGAAGCCAAGTGAGAATACGATAGATGTTAAAGTTAGCAAAAAGAATTTGACATATATATATATGTGGGACAACACATCAGGAAGGACTTTGAAGCAATCGTCGGGCAGTAAGTAAAGCACTTCATCTATTCACAGAAGTAATATAAGAGTGCAGGAAACCAAAGAGGCTGAGAAGATATAACATGAGGTAGCGCTTACAATTTCACTGGTGGTTACATTACCGGGCGCTTATATCAGTATATGCTTCTGGAACTCTTTTTGGGTTACTGTAGCGTTTCGTTACGGTTACGTATGTACTATGGACTTCACCTATCTTCTATTTGGCGTGTCTTCGCGTGATTTTCCACAAAGTTCAGGTAACCCTTGTCATGGATTGTCAAATTGACGAAGTCTTCTTTTTGTGGATTTGAATAATATCCCGAGATTTGGGTTTTTTAATTGAAATGTTTAAGTCTTTCTACTACTTTTTTTCTTAAAATATGGATTGAAAATTAAAATGGTACACACTGTTAAGAATAATTACAGATTGAGAATAAAAGTGGCATAGTTGCTAAGGATAACTCTAAAGGGATTGCGAGGGACATTTTTCAACCTCTTATGGCAAAAATAACTGCTGAAGAAAGAATTATGCGATTTTTGAATTTGTTTATTTATCCGTCCTTAAATGTGATTTTAATAAAAGATCATGTAGTTGTAGTAGTGCTACAAGTACCATCTCCTCTATGCCCTTAAAGAAAATCCTCATTTTGCTGTAAATTGTACGGAAGAGGGTAAAGCAATCAAAGTACTTTTTGAATTTGATTTATTAAATTGAACAAGGAAATTGTCTAGGAATTAAGACTCCTAATGTGATGTGAAACTTTGCTAAATGATTGGTCAGTTTATCCCAAACATATATTTGAAACTGGCAGAAAAATCAGCAACACACCACCATGATTTGATTCAATTGGCAAAGCAAAAGAGGAAGGGACGGTTATTCATTCAAAAAATTGAAGTTTGATATTTTCAAACTAAAATAAGTTCGAACTGTACAGATTCATCTGATTATGAGTGGAAGCATTACAATGGAAGTAATAGTACTTGGCTGTAGAGGGGGGAGTGGGGGGGGGGGGAGGGGAGCAGATGATGCTATGTTCCAAGATAAAAAAGAAATCAATCGCAACTAACTGACATTTTGTGTTACGGAATCGATTCTTCCCTTCTCCATATTTGCATATATTATTCATCACCTTTGTATCGTATCTTCTGATGTCTTTGGAATTCTTGGCTGACAGAAACGATTAGGTTAGCTAATATACGGCGATATTTGGATGATTTTTTGATGGTGCTGAAACATAATTTGAATTTCTTTGCTATCTCGATGAACTGTGAGGGATGAATGAGTAAATGTGAATCGGAAAGTTTTGAGTGTACTGATGTTGCCAGTGACATCTCAAGTTTTGAATTTTTTGAAATGTTGATTTTTCTTTAATATTTTTTTAGAGTATAGGTTGAGAATTATAATGATGATGGTAAGAAATATTGATTCACATCTGAAATATATATAATACTTTCAGACACATCTCAGCACTTACTGGTACATTTACAATGGCTAAAGTCGTGGTTCTCGATTGAAGTGGTGGTACAAAGGACGGAAGAATGCAGTTATTGCAGAAAACGTTTCACTCGTAAAAATATGATTTTTTATTGAAGGCGTGACTGTGAGTTGTGTGATTGGTAGTGTGTATACGGTCGATGGGATGGATGATGAGAGCTGTAGTGCTTGAAGGAATTCTCCTTTGTTTCTTCTTTCATTTCATCTATTCCCTCTTAGCTTTTGCATTAACGGATAATACAGTTGTTATTCCTGAGTTGAAAAAGAGTTTATTTATGACTGGGAAGACTTTTTTCCGCTTTTCAAAAATGTACCCATAAAATTACAGTTCAAGACTTTTCAGATTCCATTCTGTTTCCATTCTGTTTGTGTTCTTCTCTTATTCTTCATCATCAAAAGATCATAGCAAAAAAAGAGCGGAAATATTTTTTTGAGAATATTTTTTTGTGAATCATTTTATCTTTGAAAAAATCAAAGAATTTTTTAGTTCATTAAAAGAGGAAATTGCTGGGGAAGAAATCTGATTAAAAATTCCATGAAATATAAATTGAAACATGTCTTAATTATGGAAGAAAGTCCATTTTCAAGTTGGCGATATTACAAGAGCGTAGTCGTTAATATTCATAGAGCACATGAGTTTTACACAAAACATGAAAATGTAAAGTTCAGTTAATTGTAAGATAGTTTTCTGAATTTTCTTCATTTTTTCTCGACTTTCCCTATTTTTATATCATTTATATATACTTCATATTCTATTTTTTAGATTTTCATTTTTATGAGTTGATAAATAGGGTAATAATCATAATAATCGTACTGCAGTTCTTACTGATTATTGCTAATAGAGGAAGATATAGATAGCATATGGAAAAAATGGATCTTTTTTTAAGCAAAGCAGAATAAAAAGAAAAACAAGCGGGGATTGATAGAAAATACTAGAAGTGTTATTGAATAATACTGTAATACAGCAGACTTCTTTAGATAATGTATCTTTTTGCTAGAAACTTTATGTCCTTCCCTTTTTCATTTGTGAAACCCATTCCACACATTTTAATGAGACGTTTATCTGTTAGTTGTTCTGAGAAAAATGTTTCATACATGTGAGAACCACCTTTTTCCTTGTTAGTTGTTTCAAGCAATTCGACCTTGCAAGAAGTTCGCTTACTCTGATTAGTATTTGGAAGTAATGCTTATTTGCTTGCCAGTGCATCTTATTTTGGATTCATTTTGTTTCTTGACTCACTGTTTTTTGACTGACATACTTCAGTATTCGGGATGTAATTACTACATCTGTTAATTTTATTGCATAAAAGATGAAGCTAATTCGTTTGAGATGTGGGAATCGTTGGAAACTTTTTGAAGTAGTTCAAGTTTTTCTTTCCTTTTTTGAAATGTCAAATATTATGCGTAGTTTACTGAAACATTTGTTTGTTATTCTCCTTAGAAGCTGTTCATCATTTCGAAGTTATTGGAATTATTGCTTTCAGTAAATTAGTGCAATTGCAGATGAATTTGTTATTTGAAATCCCGGTATTTTTTAAATAATATATTAGAGTTGCGGTGAAATGGAATCGCAAAAATTGAACAATATGAATTGTCTTATTTCACCGGCCATTTTTTGCGTTTTTTAAATACTGACGTTGCACTGTGCTGATCGAATATTGTGTGTGATTATGCGATAATGTTTAATGTATTTTGTTAACGCGATTTGTTGTATTGTAATTTTTTACATCTTTCGCGGTCGTAACCACTTTTTCATTTCAGTTGTAGTTCAAGCCAGATAGATTGGATTTGTCGGGAAGATACAAGAAGCGAGAACACCATTTGGAGAAGTTATTCTAAATCGGCTGAACGCTGACAACGATGGCAGCATTTCCGGGACAATCGGCAGGTTTTTTCATATTATAATCTTTTAATACAGGCTATTACATGGCCATAATTAATTGATGCTTACATATTCTGATAGTCAACAAGTTTTTTTGTCAGGTAGATGCATTGAAAAGTAGTCGTTAGAGTAAATTCTGAAGAACATTTGGAAAACTTACAGTTTTTTTCCTTGGAAAGAAGGAAACATAGATTTGCTCAATAAATATATCAATGAATTCATGAACGACTCTTTTTATCCTTTTTATTTCAAAAAACCTTAGAGAGCAGCTGTCAGATTTTTTTTTATCAGACTTCGTGTCTTCTTGTCTGTACATGCATTCTCGTGGATGGATGTATCTATTAGTTTTCTCTGATATTTGTTTCTAGAGATATATTTATGCTTGAAGATAAAAATTCTGACAATATGTAAGGCCCATCCCATATCCGCATACGTTATTGCGTCTTTCTGCTTTCAAATTTTACATACCTTATTTTGATTCATTCCTCTGCGCCGACGTATTGGCCAGAGCTTTACACACCATTTATTTGGCATTCATTTATTAAAAATTGTGTCCTGTCGCTGTTCTCATTCCCTTCCTATCATCATCATTTCTATTCTTGCCCTACTATTAGTCTGGCGTAGTTCTCGGTCGCTTCCTGATTAGTTACTGGAAACAAAAGTAACTTGAAATATTCAGTAGGAAAAATCGGGCAAACCATATTAGCTTGATTCCGATGCTTTCCCTGATAAAGTCACTTTCTTGCAGGATAGGATTAACCGAATGTTAGGCAATAGTTGAATGTATATCTAAAAATGTGGCAATTCAAACATGGAATGTTTGTGTGAAAATAAGGGAGACACAAAAAGAAAACGTTGTTATATTTTTCTTTTTTTAAAGAAAAAACATATTTATTGAAATACTAGATTCACGGAAAATCGATAGTCTGACTACTTTTCCAGGTGTCCTTAAAATAAGATCGCTTACATCTTTGATTGTTAAATAGGATGCAGATGTGTTTCGAGTGGAGGAATGAGAAAAGAGAGAAAATTCACTAACTTTTCCACAAAATTGTGAACAAGGATTGTATTTTTCCTGTTAACTTTTAGAACTGAGCTAATTGCATGAAAAAATTTAGATTTTTATTACTTTTTTGAATAAAAATAGCAAGTTATTATTAGCCTTTCAACTTATAAGAGCTCAATATTTTCGAAATATAAATATGAATGTATGTTATTCTTCTTTGATATACGGGGTTAAATGTGAGCGTATATTTGTAAGCACAATGCTTTGTAATAAAGCATTTCACACTCTACACATCAAAGTTCATGTATGATTCACGTAATTTTGTCCTTGTATACCTTTTCACTTTCAATACAAAAAGAAAGAGAGAAGGTCCGTGAGCGCATTCAGACATTATAGCCCTATTGTGCAGGGAAGAGGCATTATATAATCTGTGGAATAATACTAGAGATTGGAAGAAAAAATATATTGGTTAAACTAGGAATTTACAAACTCAAGGTTATACGATACTCGACCTCGTTGGCTTACTAACCGAGCAACACACTTGTAACACGGTTGAGTCATGCTTACATCATGTGCCGCCACCCTTTGGAATGTGACAGTTTATCTTGTCATTCTTCTTTTTTTTCTTTTAGTTGAGCTGACGAAAGTTTATAAACGTTAGCCAAATTACAGGATATCTAAAATGACATAACACCAATTTGGTGAGGATGTTTGTTAATATCGGTTTGTTGTATTTGTTCATTTAATCACATAGTAGTCACCCCATTCATTTATTTACTTGTCTGTTTACCCATCGAGGAAGTGGCGGTGAAATTCCTCGACACATTTTTATTTTTTTTTTTGTATTCGAGATTTTTCATAACATAAAAAAAGAAATGATGAAAGGAACAAAGAGAATAATTCCTTAAGTGGCATCTCTTAATGTTGTCTTCATTTTTGGCAGATGAGCGATGGAATCATTCTGTTGAGTGGTGTAAAAAATATTTCGAAAAGATTATAATAATAATACAGGATTTGGTCATCCTGCTGAGGAATTTATGAAAATTTAAATTTTGGAATGTTTAAAAGAAAGACAGATTGAAAAATGTAATTTTTCATAGTACATTTGCTCCCATCTATCACTGGTATGAAAATTGAAGGAGGGGAAGAACTACAGCCCCTTCACATTTGGTCGTCCTACCGAGATATTTATGCAAAATTCTTGAAACTCTGCAAAATGTGATTTAAATCAAAACTTGGAATGGAAATTCATGATATATACAGCCGTTATTTTTAAAACTCCCGATGGTTTAAATTAATAGGTTGATATCAGTAAAACATGCTATTTAAGTTGCTGTACAAGGAACGAGAAAACAAAAATTAGTGTAAATGAAAATCACTTCATCCACACTAATTCTTTTATCCCGTAACTTCAATCTTGTTTCGTAAGTTCGATCCAGTGCTTACCTTCTCTCAAACTACGTCTGACGTGTGTCACAAAGTCTCCCGAAGCAACGCTATAATCTTGTTTATTTGTTTGGCTTGCGCAGGTTTTGTCGCTAGCCCTTTGTTGTGTCTCTTATTGTCGCTTGCAGTAAAAAAAAAATTCACTATTCTTTTGAACTCACATTAATATGTTAAATATGAAATGAGATTTGACCCATGATATTGTCTATTAGCTTCTTTGGTTGTTGGGAAAGATGAGAAAATGCGAACCTTGCATCTACTACGCAGTTCACTATGAAATTCGTCTTCGGAGAAATACCAGTGATGACAGAAAGTGAAAATTTCACTTTCTCATGGAATATGTTCCCTTGGTGTTTAGTCACTGCTTAAGGAAACGTAGGAAATATATATATATATTTTGGTTTTTTTTTTTTTTTTTTTTTTAAATAGAATTCGCATAAGTTAGATTATATGTTTCCGTAGCCTTAGACTTGCGGGAAAATTGGCTCTCGTCATGTACAGCAAAACTGAAGTTTACAGTCTTTTTTCATTTATACAAAAGGTAAGTTGAAAAAGAGTTTGTTGATGTGTTCACTTCTACTATTTAAAGCTATTATCATTTTCAAAGTCAGAAGATTTTATGAATATCAGTAGCCGAAGTGAATGCTTGGTGTTTATTTTTCATCCAGTTATAGAATCGGATGGTGTTGGAGCAGCTGGTAAAATATTATTTATTACGCTACTGAAATGATGGGCATCTTTATTCTTTGAAACTATACAGACACTTTCGTGATTTCAACTCTGCATCTATACTCAATTT